CCCCCCCCCCCCGCGGGCGCAAGTGGCACTGTACTTGTTGCCTGGGGTCTTGTGCGCAACGAGACTCTAGAAGAGGGCCCGACCCTCTGCCATAACCCGTGAAGAGACAGGGAACTTCGCGCGTACCGTTCCACCACTGCATTTTCGGAAGGGTGTAGCTAAGACTACACGTGACACAAGCTGGCGAAGATTTCAGCAAGAAGCTTACTGCCGTGTCCGCGCCAGCACGGCCACCTGGAGATCTTGGAGTTGCCGGCGGACTATCCGAGAGGCACCAAGCAGACGTGACTGTGCTATCTTCTATTCGCATGTACCATGCAACGCGTGTTTAAAAGGACAGTTACTTCACATAAGCTGCTGCCAAAATGTTTTCGATTTGTCAGGCTCATGCCCGGTCACAGTGCAGGACTTAGTTGGTGCAGGGCCATGTGGGGCCTTGGCTCAGGTCCAGGGCCTTGACTTGATTCTGCTCATGGATGCTCAATGCATCTGTGAGATGTCTCAGGTGTTCCATTTCAGATGGCGTACTCCAGATGAGGGCCTGGGCCAGTCCCCGCGGAGAACAGACCCGCCAAATGAAGAATGACGAAGAAATGGGAAGCCGTACCACAGAGCAGGTGTGTAAAAACTTGGCCAGCTTGTAGACGATATGCGACACCAGCCGCAGCAAGGAGTTTGGGCTCAACCAATTTGCGCTCGAAGTCTCTCCTGCAGCATACCTGCCCACAATGAAGAGCCCCAGCCTCACGCCAGAACTCCCATAGTTCAGTATGTAGTGCAACCTGCTGCTAAGGTGTCATGGTGAAGGTCCTTTGCCTGGCATTGGCCATGGTGGCAAACGCGCACATGCCTAAGCCGCTGCTCTGTCGCCCATTGCATCTCAATCAAAATGCTTTCTGAGGTCGCAGGTCACGCCGGTTCAGAAGGTTGTTAGCCTGATGGAGACTTGAAGAACTCATACAGTGCCCAGTGTCTGCTCTGTTGTTTGAAATGAATTGGGTTCGGTTTTTCTTGTTTTCATGTCTGGGCCAAGGAGAAGATGGTGGAAAAGGGCAAGTCGGACATCGAGGCTGAGAAGACGCAGTGCCTTTGCTGCAAGACAAGGAAGTGCTCTGCTTCATGGAAGCATTCTTTAGCAAACAAGCTCAAACATGACTGGAGCTGGCTGTAGCAAACCAAACATGCTGGGGGGGCCTGCTCATATTTTGAAGGTTTGCTGAGTACGTCAAGTTCTGCGTCACAGCCTCAGGTTCAAGGCAAACTTGTGTTTTGGCCAGCTGCCGCCAAGCAGTTGCCAATCATTCTGTTGTCGATGAGCTGAGTAAGTGGCTTTATTCGGCAGGGTGTTCCGCATGTGTTTGATATGAGTTCTGCCAAGGAAGACACCACAAAGGAGAAAAAGACAGCGATCGAAGAAGCTGATGCTCAGATTGAGAGTTTGACGGCATCCATTGAGAAGGCTCAGCCAACATGTCACCTGTTTCGCAACCGATATGTTTGGCCGTGGTCAGGCAGCATCGGATATTGACCGTCTGACGACAGAAATTGCTGAGCTCGACAGCATTATCGCCTCCACCAGCGAGGTCGGTCGGTCAATCTGATTTCCATATGGCGGGTGATATGCTCGTATGCCCCGCAGGAGAAGGCAAACGCAACGGCCATTCGCGAGAAGGAGGTGCGTCCTGCAATACTTCGCTTATCAGTAGCGCCTCAAAACAGCCGCAGCAGCTAAGCATGCCAGGTGGCCGACTACACCGCAACTCTCACCGACTACGTTGTCACTTGCCTTGTTGACGTAGAACTGCGCAATATTTTGAGGATGCAGGCTCTGACAATGCTCAGGACTCCATCAATGCCATGGGCAAGGCGATGACCGCTCTGAAGGACGTGTAGACTTCTCCAAGGGACTAAGCAAGCGTTGCAAAAGCAGCTCTTTACAGGCATGACTCGCATTCCCTGAAAAGCAAGTCCAACAAATCTCGCGCAGGAACAGCCCAAGACGCGCCCACAGGCTACGTCTCTGCTGCAGATGTCTGACCTTTACAAGGCACATGGGCCGCTCAGCTGCGACCATTGAAAGTACCGCTGTTGAGGGCACATCAGTTACACGATAGCACCTGTTGACAACCAAGGAAGTTGAGCCCATCAGAAGCCTCCAGATACCTGGATGCCTTCCTGTCCGGCCATGCCGCAGCAAGGCATGCACATGAGCCATACCCGAAGGCTATGCTGCTAGTGTTGCTGCAGTGTCCATTGGACATCTCCAGACAGCGGTGCGGACAGTTGTGGACAGAGATAGGTAAACAACCCTAACCAACAAGAACAATGAGTTTCCACATTAGGGCGAAGGTGTCCTCTGGGGTGCCGAGATCTGAGGCAAGCAAGGCTGAGTCGCTGCTTTCCGAAGCGCAGTCGGAGCCTGATGCGGCCGCTCAGTCACAACTTGTGGGAATGTTGCTTTTGTCGGGTAGCTTGCCCTACCACGCATTCAAACAGGCTGGATACGAGTTCCAATCCAATGGAGTTATTGACATGCTTGAGAAGCTCAATGACCAGTTCAAGCAGGACAGCACAGGGCATAGCAGCTTGAAGCTAGAACTTGTACCATTGCCCGTGCCATGGTAGGTCTGTGCAATTTGCGTCGTGTCAAGCCCCTGAGGAGAAAGATGCTCTAAAAATGGAGGAGCTTAAGAAGAAGAATGCTTTCAAGACGCTGGTTGAGGGCCTCACCTCAGAGAATGCGGATGCAACCAAGAGCAAGGAGAGCAAGCTGAAGGAGAAATCGAGCACCTCTGAGCAAAAGGCAAAGGATGAGGCTGACTTGGCCGACACCACCGCAACCAGGAAGGAGGATGCTAAGTACAAGAAAGATCTTGAGATGAGCTGGGCCGAGCGAACTACGGAGTTCAAGAGCCGCCAGCAGCTGCGTGCAGAGGAGCTGGAAGCTCTTGACAAGGCCATTAGCATCATCTCAGGTGAGGCAGTGACCGGCGGCGCTGCAAAGCACTTGCCGGGCTTGTTGCAGACCAGCACCGCTATGGCTATCGTGAGCGTGAACCGCTCGCTGCGTGTTCCAAGCTACCGGAAGGTGGCAGACCTGCTTCAGGAGAAGGCAGCGGCCTTGCACAGCCAGGAGCTGGCTGCTTTGGCCATGCGGATTGGTGCAGACCCCATCGACAAGGTGAAGGAGATGATCGAGAACATGATCAGCCGAATGGAGAAGGATGCTGCTTCGGAGGCGACGAAGAAGGCCTGGTGTGAGGAGGAGTTGGCCGAGAACGAGGAGGCCCGTGACGCCAAGAACGATGAGATTGAAGCCTTGGACGCAGATGCGGCCAAGTTGGAATCCTCCCTCAAGCAACTCGCCGTAGACCTGTCCACGCTGGGACAGCAGGTCAAGGACATGAACGCTGCCATGGCTGAAGCAACTTCCATTCGCCAGAAGGAAAAGAAGGAGAACACTGTGGCCATCAAGGACGCAAAGGCGGCTCAGGCAGCAGTTGCTGAAGCCTTGAGCGTGCTGAACGAGTTCTATGCAAAGGCCGGCCAGGCCACGGCTTTCGTTCAGGTTAAGGCTGGCCCACAGCCCTTCGACAAGCCTTACACCGGGATGGGCGCAGAGAGCGGTGGCGTGCTTGGTATGATCGAGGTGATCCAGTCCGACTTCGCGCGCCTGGAGGCTGAGACGACCGCGGCCGAGCAGTCAGCTGCCAAGGAGTACGAGTCCTTCATGGACGACTCTAAGCTTGATCTTACATCGAAGGAGAAGGACATCGAGCACAAGACCTCCAGGAAAGAGTCTGAGACTCAGGCGCTGGCCTCTGTGAATTCGGACTTGGGAAATGTGAAGAAGGAGCTCGATGCCGTGATGAAGACCTACGAGGAGCTGAAGCCGCAGTGTGCCGACGCCAGCGCCTCGTACGAGGAGCGCAAGGCAAAGCGTGATGCCGAGATCAAGTCCCTGGAGGAAGCTCTGGAGGCACTCAACATCGCCCGCTAGAATAGCACCTGACTTTTGTGCAGGAATCCAAGTGCAAAAGATTGCAAAAGGGCTTGCTTGGGAGCCGAAAGACACAGATGCTCGCTAGTTAGGCCGTAAGTTGGTGTCAGCCTGGTCAGCACAATTCAGCACATGCCAGTACATCATGCTTGTGTTCCGCCAGTCCTGGGATGGGCTTGAGGCTCTGAGTGAGGCTTTGGCCC